GGGGGGGGGGGGGGGAGGGGGCAAATTCGCGAGCGTCAATACTGCGGTTTGCGAGAGAGGACCGGCGACGGAGACGGTGGCGAGGTTGGAAAATCCGAGGAATGCAGTGGCGCGGGTCTCGATAGCGGATAAACTGCGAAAGCGACGGCGGCAGTAGCTACGGCAACTCCGCAGCTCCGTCGTAAAGATTTTCGCAACGAGCCGGCCGGATGGAAAAAGAACGCAACGGTAAGGCGTGCTTTACCTGGATGAAGACGCTAAAGGGCGGAACGCGGAGCGTAGAAGCCCGAATGGAAGTTTCGGTGAGCGCGCGAGTTGTGAAGGTTCTCACAAGCGGCGGGAGGGAAAGGGCCAACCAGAAGCGGAACAAGGTGCTTCCGAAAGCTTGCGTCGGGGAGAGAGGTAACGAGGAAAAGTCCGGTAAAGTTCAAGGCGAAAGTAAGAGGTGAGCTGGACGGGAGGGAAGGCGGACGAATGTAGCGTGCAAAGCGAGGTTTTAATAACGAGCCGCGGAGAGGAAGAAGCGCGAGAGCGGCGTCGCGCCGGTGGACCGCAATGCAAAACTGCAATGGAGAAGAAAATTGAAAGACGCTGCGCGAGGGCCGTCGAAGAGGCCGAGAAAGAGGACGTCGCGAAGGAAGGCGGCGACGGGTGAAAACTTGGCGGAGAAAAACGGTCGGTGGACGTTTATAACCGCCGTAAATAACAGGTTCCTTCCGACCCGACGTTACAACGGCGACGAGGGAACAGAATGAGAAACGACGAGACAGAAGAGGCCAACAAAACGGAAACTTGAATCCGAACGGACGCGGTTGCGTTATTCTAATTATCGAATCGCCCTTGCGACTGGTTGAAAACGCGACCACTTGGGCGGAACGTAATAACGATTGCCTCACGGCAACTAAATGATCAGTTACTCGGCATTTCCTACTTATTTCTTCATCCAAGCACCGACACTGTCAGGGATCGAGATAAATTTCTCGTATCGCCGCGACATTGATTTTTTTCTCTCCACGGCCAATGCCAAGGTCCTCGATACGTCGTTGTCCGCCGATACGTGACGTTTCGTCGGTCCGAAAGATTCCTCGAAGATGAAAGTATGTTTCCAGACTGTCGAGAGGTCTTGAAGTACCTGGAGCGGCCGCTCAAGAGGGACACGATCGCACGCACGGTGCCGGTGAGAGGGGAGGAGATGCACGTACGAGGGAATGAACGAAAGCGAAGAGACAAGAGGGAAAAAGGAGAAAAATATCGAGACTAGTCGGACCAACGTGTGCGAGAGGAGGACTCGAGAGGCGAAGCGGGAGTCCTTGACGCATCCGCGGATGCTCGGGAGAATCGAACGGACCACGTACATCCATTTATCCGTCCATCCATCTCGTCGTGAGGATCCGACGCCGATGTCGAAGAAATAAATTGAATTGGTACGTCGCGAGAGAGAGAGAGAGAGAGAGAGAGTAGTCGAGTCGTTCGCGTACGGCGCGTTCGGCGCACACGATCCCGAGTGCGCGATCGGCGAGAAACACTCCAAGACTCCGTTTTTACGACTTCGATTAAAGGGCGCGGCGGCCTTGCACACTGTTGATACCACGACACACAATACACTTCCTGCAATTTTATTGCGACCCGTGAATCGGTGTGCCGTGCAAGGCCACGTCGAACGTCTCGTGCATGAGAGCGAGCGCGAAACACCTCTGGAATAAAAAGCCTCCGAGAGTAGAAATATCTCCGAGATGATGGTGTGTGTTCGAGGAATCCGAACACGCCACATAGATATCCTTCGACGTGAGAGGTTCATTATGTAAGACGAGCGAAGGCGGCGCTAGCGCGAAACACGCGGCCGATTAGTCACGATTAGTAATCGCCAGTTCGATTGGTAATCATTGGTAATCATTGGCAGCGTAATAATCGCTGGTTAGCGTCACGATCGTATTTTTTTCCATCCTGAATCTTGAATTTTAACTTCGTCTTTCATACTGTAATGCAGTTCGCCACAGCGCTCTCCTCTCCTTCGTCCACGGTCCGTCGATTTTAACGTATTTTCGGCATTCAAAGTTCAGGAAGGTTACTTCGGAGTAGGTTCAATGAACACGGTAACAACAACGACGAAAGGTTAGCGAACCCTGATAATTCCGACGAGCTTGTCTGAAAATCGAGGGAAAGGAAGAGTGCCGGAAAATGACGGGAATGGATCGTAAATCGTGGTGTACCGTAAAGGGACTTACGCCGGCGGCGGCGCGGATTATCGGAATTCAATAATGTGGGACGATACAAATAAATGGAAAAATCGACCTCACCGTTGCCGTACCGTGCAAAATAATAAAGAACGGATGCTAGTGAGACTGTAAGGGCGGAAAGTTCGGCCATATCTTCCCTCTTATTTCTCAGCCGAACTTTTTATCGAGCAATATTGTTAGAGTCTTGGGAAAGACGGCCCGATAAGAGCGAAATTAAAGAAATCGGTTAAATACGTCAGTTCAGCGACTGCTTTATGCACGACGGAAATTTATATGATATAATTTTGCTTTCGCGTACGGAAAAAAGTAGCTTCCACAGCAAAAAAATTAACTCGTACGGGTAAAAATTAGCTGTCTGTATAATACAGTTGAAATTTAATTAATTTAGGTAATTTTCTGTATTACCTCCCACAGCTAAAGATTAGGTCTGATAACTAAATTTCAGTTGTATTACATGGATAGCTAATTCCTTTTCTCCGTGCATTAATCCTACAAGCTTCGTCGAAATTAAACATTCTACAGGCTATTGGCTTAATGTCATAATATCACTTGTTAATTTAATGCCACAATTCTTGAATAAAATACTTCAAGCATCAACATTGAGAAACGCCAGCAAATAAACATTTGTAGCATCAAGATAGAACAATGGCCTATAGAGTATTAGAGCACTGATGATGCTTCAGACTCAACAGAGTTTGCAACACAAATATAGAAATAAAATTTCGACTCGAGTTAAGAAACAAATAAGAAACAGGAAGAGAGAGAGAGAGAGAGAGAGAGAGAGAAAGAGAGAGAGAGGAGAGAGAGAGCAATAGGAAATATTTTATTGACTCAACACTCTCGTGGACTAAATTAGAAGCTGAAAACAATTCCGATCGACCGGGAAGATTGTGAATTCAACTTTACCTCTCCGAAGGTAAAGCGAGGAGAAGAGAGGAGACGGTATTCGGTGCTAAAACCGCTTGACTTCATTTTATGTACATTGTGCCGAGGAGACGATCTTCTGGGAGACAGAGGGAGTAAAAAAAAGAAAAGGGGAGAGAGGGAGAGAAGGCATAGGGGATGCAGAAAGAAAGGTACCACTGGGGATTTTTTAGGACTCCTAAGGACGCCCTTATTTAGAGCCTTAACATCAGCGCGGACTCGGCCATAGGACCGGGGACGATAAAAGACGGTATATAGGCGAGCGTAAAATTCGTTACGATCGAACTTCGCCTACTTCCGCTTCCATCCTGAAGCAGAAAGAGAAGTAATTACTTACGAAAGAAGCGAGAAGAGAGATACGCACGCGCTCGCGCGCGAGAGAGGCACTCCTCGTGATTCCATCTTATTTTATGACGGTGTAGATTTAACTTTAATGTAAAGGAGGAGTTTGTACAATCCCCGAATCATTTTCCGAAAGACCTGCTCTGATATATACGAGAGATTACCTCACTGAAAGGGAATAAGGAAAATAGGCGATCGCAAGTGGACAGTTGATGAACTTCACAAGCGTCCAAGTAGGAAACTACGGGCGATTCAACCAAGTTGCGATACATTGTCGAAAATGTTGTTCCTGTCAGAACGTCCTCCCTCTTCCGGCCGATAAGAACTTCCCGAATCACTTCGACGCTTCGTGAATAGGCACAACTTCATTCGCGAATCTCCTCCCGTCCTCTCGCTTTCGCAGGAAACTTCATCCGGCCAACATAGACGATTAACTCACGAAACCCGGCAGCAACGTCGTAAATTCGTCGAGGAGCGGATGCGTTCATTGCAGCCGC